TGGGATCCGAACCCTTGGGCGGGAGCGCCGCCGTGCTTCCCAAGCGGTGCACTTATCCAGTGCGCCACTGGGCCGGCCCCAAGGGGACATACTTCTTTATATTTCATTGATAATTTCCTCTCCTCTGTTTTTTGGTTTTGTTTTGTTTTGTTTGTTTTGTGCTGTTTCTTTTTCCTGGATCCTATTCAATCAGGTAGGGTCTGGATCGATCCTTTGTTAGTTATATTTTATTTCCTACTTTCCATTTCTTATTTTGTGTGTTGGTTTATTTTTGTTGTTCTGTTTCTCTGGAATATTTCCTTAATTTTAATCTTCTAAACTTTTTTTGTTTTCCAGTTAAAAATCCGGGTTTTTGTTTTGTTTTGTTTTGTTTTACTTCCAAAAGCTCTTCCTTGATCTCTGATCTTTTTCATAGTATCTTGTTCTTCTGATATCACTCCAAGGGCATGAATTAGAATTGTTTTTTTCATTTTCCTTGGTTCCTTTTCCACTTGGTTCCTTTTTTCTCTTTGTCTATTTTGAGCTCTCTTTTGCGTGCTGGAGGTTTTCTGTAAATAATTGATGATCCTTGATTCTGAGGGAGCCAATAGTAAAGTGATTAGAATCTCTGTGTGGGCTAAAGGAGCTTAACTAGCATGCTTCACTCTCAGGTGAATTGGGGAGACATTGACAACTTTGCAGGATGACACGTAAATGGCAGTACACAGAGTTCACTTTTCTTTGGAAGGGGGCTTTCATTTCCCCAGGGAAGGTCCCTCAGTATTACTTACCCTGAGTACGAACAACAGGCATTCTTCTGCCTGGGAGTGAAGAGCAGTGGGCAAGGGGGGCATGATTGTTCTGTATTTTGAGTTTAAAATAATCTTATTTTTAGCTCAATACCTCACCTCACCCTTCGCCATGTCTTGAGCTTCTCCTTGGTCACCTGGGGCAACTCTGCTCCTCACTTATCCTTATCTTCCTCTGAATGCATTTTTAAAGACTATTTTGTAGAGCAGTTTTAAGTTTACAGCAAAATTGAGAGAAAGGCACAGAGGTTTCCCATATACTCCCTCCCCCAACACGTGCATAACCTCCCTCATTTCAACAGCCCCCATCAGAATGGTACATTTGTTAATATCAGTGAAGCTACACATCATCATTGCTCAAATCCATACTTTACATAGGGGTTGAACATTCTGAATGCATTTTAGCCTCTGATTTCCTCTGGCTTGCTCATCTGTAACCACTCCACAATCTGTTTGTATCTTCCAGAAATTACTGATGCTTCTCACCCCTTCCACCGTGAATATTTTCTCCCATTCTCTTTTCGGTCTTATGGACTCATGCCTTATTTCAAAACTTTTTGCTGTCGTCTTGGTGAGATCTCAGAAGGAACAGGAGATAAATTCTGTGTAGTCAGCCTGCTATCTTTAATAAGAACACATTGTTCTTTTTACAGGTGATCCTGATGTTGGCCGATATTTTTATTTTTCTCAGAATTTCAGAAGGAATAGAAAATTTTGGTAGACATTTGAGATGTAGTTATCAGAGAGTTATGAAAAATTCTGTACCAATAATTTTGGTATTTGTTAAGGCCATCAGAAAAGATCCTGCCTGATCAAAGCCTCATTTAAAGGCTAACATGGTAAAAGAAGCTTCCCATGGTTGATAGAGTAGGAAAAATACACTCTGGACTTGGAATGCTTAGAATGGAACTGTTCTGCATCTGCTCAGTTTCATTTATAGTCTCTGCTGATAAGACTGATCAGGGCAACAGTCCTGGAACACGGAGCCAGTTGGACTAGCTACAACCAATAGTTTCACAACAGCTGCCAAAGAGCCATCAATTACAGCTTGAGGTCTCAAAGAAGTGTGTAGAATCTCTGCGGATCTACCTTCATAATTGCTCATTTGTTCTTCAAGCCATTGAGAAAACTTTTTCTTGTCCATTTATCTTGAAACTGAATAATACATTTCCCTGTATGCTAAAGAATCTCCCTTTTTTTTAACCTGACATAGAGACATCACTCAGAACCTCTGAAGTTGTAACATAAGAGAGGTTATGGCTACAATGGAAGAGTTGCTACAACCTTAACTGTCATGTCTTGGCTGAGACATTTTTGCTGTTGTTGTACATATCTGTGGGGTATTTTTTGTTTTTTTTAAATTGGAACATAGTTGATTGTATTTATCTGTAGTATACAGCACTGAATATCAATACCTGTGAGCAATATGTGATGTTCAAATCAGGAGAATTAGTATATTCAACATTATACAATAATAGATTTTCATGGCCCGTGACCAATTCCTCCCTTACCCCCCCTCCCCCTTCCCCACCTCTAATCTCAGTTCTGTTCTCTTCTTTTAAAAGTTCGACATATTATTGTGATTGTTATTTCTTTCTTTCTTTCTTTATCTACTTATTTATTTTTTATTTTACTTTTTTTAGCTCCCACTTATAACTGAGGACATGCAGTATTTCTCTTTCTGTGCCTGGCTTATTTCACTTAACATAATTTTTTCTAAGTTCATCCATGTCGCTGTGAATAGCAATATTTCATTCTTTTTTATGGCAGAGTAGTATTCCATTGTGTAAATTCATCACATTTTCCTTATCTGGTCATCCGACAATGGACATTCAGATTGGTTCCAACTCTTGGTTATTGCAAATAAAGCTACAATAAACATAGGAATGCAGGTTTCCCTTCGACATGATGATTTCCTTTCCTTTGGGTATATACCCAGCAGTGAGATTGCTGGATCATATGGCAGTTCCATCAGTAATTGTTTGACAAACCTCCATACTGTTTTCCATAATGGCTTCACATTATTACTGTCCCACCAACAGTGTAGGAGGTTCCCCTTTTTCCTCATCCTCATCAACATCTGTTATACTCTGTCTTTTTGATAATACTGGATGAGACTTTCAATGAATTTGGGGAGAGGCAGGCAGTAGGGGGAGAAGACAGTATGAGTTGATTATTTTTAGTAAACTATTTCCATGCGTAACTGCTGATGTTCATACTAACAAAATTAACTTTCCACATGGAATTATTCCTAGGCTCCAGAAGTGTGAAATTCACGTGGTTGTTCTACTGGCGTCCCGGTTCTAATAGAGTAGAAGGCACAGCCATGTGCTTCAGGAATAGTCGATAAACAGTGATCATTTGCTATGAAGTGGAATTCAAACCAAGAAAGAGTTGATGCTTATTTTAGATCACTTTTAAATGTAGGGCTGGAAAAATAAAGAACATTTATCAGCTGAGCAAATGATGGAAAAGAAAGTAGAAGTGTGTCAGTTTCTAAGACTCGGTTTCTTAAAACATAGTCTCCACAGCTGGCTAAGGCTAATGCCACTTCTGAAATAAAGTGTCTTCCGACTGACAACTCATTTCATTACTCAGCTGCCCTCCTGGACTTCATAGTGTGTAGAGGGCAGTGACAAGCCAATGATTATAGCCTGGGGTGTGATGTATACACAGTTAGAGAGGAATGTTGAAGGACTATCCTATACTGCAGCACAGCTTTCCAATCGACCAGGACCTGGGCTTGAATCCTGCCTCTGCCAGGTAATACATGTATAACCTTGGGCAAATCTTGAGGAACTAACACTCAACACTTATTAAAGAAAATAAAATAAGGCAGCTGCCTGCCCTCAAGGAACTGACAGGAGAAGCAGACAAATAAATCATTGAGAACAAAGAGTGATGACTGCTGTGGCAGAAGAATGTACAGTGTGCTACGGGCATAGGCAAAGGGGCATCTAAATCAAATGAGAGGTCAGTGAAGACTTCACAGAGATGTGAGCTTTGAAACACCAAGAGGGTGTAGGGACAGGGGTTCTGGGCAGAAACTGGAATACAGAAGATCATATGTACATGCTCAGGGCTTGGACAACCTCTTGTAGACATGGAGAGCCAAGAAATGGTTTTAAATGGGGGGAAAGGGTCAGATTTGCAAATTAGGATTTTTAGATAGAGCAATTGAGCTGTCATGTGGGGGTGGATAGGAGCAGATGAGCCTTGCAGTAGGATGGTTGGTAAGTTATCAATATTCCAGGTGAGAAAGGCTACAATACATATACAGCATTCCAGGTAAAAACAGTGAGGGACTGAGGCTATAGGGACTGACTTGCTCAGGGCTTGCTTGGATTTAGCACTGAAAGTCCCATGTCCCAGGAAACTTTTCAGTCCCAGGAAAAACAGGGTGGTTGGTCACCCGACCTGAGGTTCTGAAGGTAGGGGTAAATTGTACAGGAACACTAATCCAAGTGACATTCAAGAGGGAAAATTGATAAGATTATGATCATTTGGATGTTGGAAGGTTAGTGAGAGAAAGGGAAAAGTTGAAGACTGTAATACGATTTGTAGCTTGGTTGATGGAGAAGCTGGCTGTAGCATCATTCAAGAGAAATTGAATCACTGTGTAAATTCTTCCAGATCACGGACTATTACCTGTACTTTATCTTCCTAGCCAATCATACACCTTTTGTCTGTGTCTTCATCATGGCAGAGTCCTCTCTCAATTCTGTGGTTTTGATTGATTTGCAATCCGAATATGAAAAATGCCAGTAGAAAGAAAATTTTAGTGGCTCTATCTTTTGTAGGTACAGTAAGGTGGAAGTATGTAGCAATATTCAGGCACGGTGTGGCAAGGTGGAAGCAATCTACTTATCCAAAGTACAGGTATTGGTGCTGGTATTTTTTAGGTTGCTCTTAGTAGGAGAGGATTGAATTTTACAGTCTGTCTCTCAGAGTAGTCTGTTTGTTTTTACATTAAAACCTCATGACCCCTGTCAGTTTGCTGGACTTGGTTCTCTAAACACATCAGAAATAAATAGACTTCAGGCTACCATTCTTAGGAAATAAATTTTAAATGATGCCATTTAGAAAAAGCCAGAGAGAAGTTAAAGTAGCCAGTCTGCTCATTTTTAAATTTTCAACTAGATATTTGATATTTATGTTGTTTTTCTATCTCCTGGATGGTGGATAACATTCCTTAATTCTTTCCCAAACCAGCTTGATTGTGCAAGCCACAGACAAAGGAACGCCCAGGCTTTCTGACACAACTATGATCGAGATACAGGTCATTGATATAAATGACAATGCCCCGGCTTTTCTCCCCTCTGAAGCAGTGGAAATTGCAGAAAGTAAGTGTGGCAATTTGGAATGGTGGTTTTGATTCACGTGTATAATATCATTTACCATTTTCTTTCAGCCAGACACTATATTAAGTAAGATACAAATCCTCAACACCTGTGCAAGCGAGATGATTTCCGTTTTCATTTTACATATTAAAAAAATGAATGGTCGTAAGTGAAATATCAAATGTCAAAGGAGTTAAATGTTAAAGCTGAGATTTGCATTCAGATCGGTGGGAGGCCAAGTTCCCTTACTCCAAGTGCCATTCCTCACAGCATCTTTTTATGTACTGACATTTCTTAAAAACTAAAACTATTCCATGAGGAAGCACATTGTGTTGACTTTGATAATCGTGAACCTCTTCTGAGAAGAAGCAATGCTCTTAGACTTACAACTTTGTCGGTCTTTGTGGTATACTAATGACATATAATAAGTGAAATGAAATGGATACTGGTTGCACAAAATCATCATTTTCCCCTAGAGTAACCTAAACTTTAACATTTGTACCACATAAAGATTGAAAATATCATATAAAATATGATTAATTTTCATTGTTTGGGTTTGGAGCTTATACAATGACTCCATAGTCTGTGAACCCAAAGTTGTCCATGGTCAATGGCTGCACTGGTAAAAGCCAACCCAACTCTTCATAGTTGAAGTTGAAAATAGTGGTGGCCCCTCACTTGCCTATCTTCTCTCACTTTTAATACCAAACTCATTCCAAATGTTCCTAACATTTTATCATGTTCACTTTCCAAGCAAATTATACCCACCCCCTCTCACAGAAAGATATATTCCAGAAATCTTGACACATAGGAATATCTACAAATATTATATTCTACAAATAAAAAAAAAAATCTTAAGTTTTGCCTCTCACCTGCTTGATATACTTTCATTTTATTTTATTGATAGTACTGTTCTTAAGCACATGCATTGGTGAGAAAATATGGCAATGTGCCTGGTATAAATATATCACAAGAACAAACTGCATAAATCAAAACATACTGAATAGGGTAAGGTGTGGCTGGTGCACATCAAGAATGTTCAATCCTGACAACTGGAAATTATGAGTCACATGTACTCATACAGTGGAACTATTTTGAGTATCTTGGCTTAGTCTTTCCACCTGTACCATACCTATGAACTTAAAAACAAAGCCCCTTTCATGGGGAGTTTAGACTGGAGAACACATGGTACATGAGGCATTGATCATAATCACCTATTTTCTGCTTTTCTGGTGAATAAATAGTACTAGAGGTTTGTTTTCATCACGAGTACTAAGTGTACTTTGTCTCTCTACAGTCTTGATAATTTTGAGAGTCAGATCAAAGAAAAGGAAGGAGTGTATGTGCCACTTCAAAATAAACAATTTCACGAAAATAAATACAAAGAAATAAGTATGTAATTCTAACGTCAGTATCCAAATATTTTCAAATCTGGCCTACTTTTCAAAATTTTATGTTTCGTATTAATGTTTTGAGTAATACCCTTCTTTCACCCACATCCTCCGTGAATATATAACTTTGATACAGAAACTGTACAGTACAAATAAGTGGCTTAGAAGGTTTCTTGGTCCTGAAATTATGTTATAAGCATATGATGAAAAAATGTAATATAAAAATTGAATATACTCTACCTCCTCAATTCCCCAGGCAGTGGTAAATTTTCACTTTTATTGGGCTTATAAATTCTTCAGTGTTTGTTCAGTTCATAACAGAAATAAGAAATCATGCCAAAAAAGAGCAAATCATGTTGGACTTAAAAATACTTGGATTGAAATATTAAAGAAATGTATTTCAAAGGATGAATTTTAATGGAAGCTGACATTGGTCATGACTGTTTCAGATTCTTTGCCTGGTGTAATTGTGACGCGCGTGTCAGTTCATGATGTGGATTTGAATTCAGCTTTCATCTTCAGTTTCACCAAAGAGAGTAATTCTGGAGCCAAGTTTGCTATTGATCAGAACACTGGAGTAATAGTGTTGGTGAAAACACTAGATTTTGAAGAAGCTACTGAATATGAGCTACTCATCCAAATTTCTGATTCAGTGCACCGCACAGAGGGAGCACTCAGGGTCCGTGTGCTGGACGCCAACGATAACCCGCCACTGTTTTCTCAAGATTTCTATCAGGTAAATTGCTTAAAGAGATGCTGAAACCACAGCCCAAGCTAGACATAATAAGGAAGAATGTGAGCCTTCCATGGTTGACAGACTAATTTAGGCAGACAGTATTCAATGTTTTTAGTGCCTAAGTTAATGCTGTGAGTTTTATATTTAATGTTGTGGAAGCTATGAATATCTGTAGAATTGAATGTCTCATTCAACTCATTTTATTTTTATTTTTTTATTTTTTATTATTATTATTTTTTTTGTCTTTTTCCGTGTCCGGCAACGGATCGCAACCCTCAGTGTCGCCCCCGTACCGGACCGGGACCGGCAACGGGATCGCAACCCTCGGTGTTGCCCCTGCGCCTCGCTCAGCCAGTGAGCGGGAACCGGTCTGTATGTGGGATCCGAACCCTCGGCGGGAGCGCCTCCGCGCTTCCCAAGTGGCGCACTAGCGCACTGCGCCACCGGGCCGGCCCCAACTCATTTTATTAAGTATGTTTGTCATTACATTTTTAGTTTTTAGGATTTGGAGTCCTATTGTTGATAATAATTGGAACTTGACTAAAATTGGCAAAGCCACAGATGAGGTAATAATGTATGGCCCCAACTCATTTTATTAAGTATGTTTGTCATTACATTTTTAGTTTTTAGGATTTGGAGTCCAATTGTTGATAATAATTGGAACTTGACTAAAATTGGCAAAGCCACAGATGAGGTAATAATGTAGTTTGGATTATCTGCAGTTAATTTGGGAAAATATTTTATTTCCTATTCCTATTTTTGGAATGTATTGATCAACATTTTACAGAAACAAATTATGAACAAAACTCTAAGGTGGGAATTTTAGTTTTTGCAGCATAGTATATGTTTATAGAAGCAAGAGCAAAGAAAGCATCTAACTAAGTACATGGAAATGGACTCCAGGACTGTTGAATGTAGCAAATGCAAGATTTAAGTGTAAACACAGGTGAAACTAACCTAAATAATGAGCTTCTGGGAAGGCTTAGTTGAATTATGCAATGTACACAAATGTAATAACACATTCATGGATGTAGTAACTGTCCTCTCCCATGTAGAAATCGTTTTTTATTTTATCTATCTATCTATCTATCTATCTATCTATCTATCTATCTATCTATCTATTTATTACTCATACAAAGCTGATGGTCCCCCCTCCTGCCCATGATGTGGGGGCCAGATTCATACTGGGAGCACACCCATTACCAGAAACTACTTTTGTACCCTTTGTCCCCTTCCAATTATCCCTCAACCTCACTCCCGTTCTCCCTTCCCCCTCTCCCCTCAACTCCAATTTGTAGCCCTAGGAATGTTTCCTCCCTATTGGATCACGGCACTACTGTGGTCTTTCTTTCCTGCCTTCCTTTCTCTCTTAGCTCCCACA